ATCTTTATATTTAATTTAAACTCAAAAAAGTTAGGGACAAATAAAATATCAAATAAGGCATAAACTATACGGTTTGTGAAAAAAAATTCAATAATGAGTTAAAAAAATTGATCAACTTGGAAAAGCCATTTTCGACATTTTTTAGAATCAGCCATTAATAAACTTTTTAATTACAACTACATTATTTGAGGAAATAATATTTAGCCAAAGGTCCGTTTCATCACAAGAAGTATTTCTAGGGAACAATCTTTCATGTACATTAGAGCTGTGCAAAATAATTCGAACCGAACTGTTCGAATGTCGAAAATTCGACACTCGAGTTAGCTTAGTTCGAATGTCGGTTTTTCGAACTAGCCCAGTTCGGATGTCGAATATTCGACATTCGAGTTACTACAAAATTCGAACCGAACCGAGTTGTGTTCGGTTTTAGTACGCTAAAATGTCGAATTCTAAAATTCGACATTTCAGTCGTTCAGTTCGAATGTCGAATATTCGACATTTCGGCGCCCCCAAACCGAACAAAACTCGGTTCGGTTCGAATTTTGCACAGCTCTAATGTACATGCTTCCATGCCAGGCATTCTACCATAATATGGTGGAAGTCATCATTTCCCTCATTACAAAATAAGCAGACATTTTCCATGCCAAAAACGTGTTTAGAGCGATTAATAACAATTCTTGTGACAAATTTATTAGAAGGACGAAGCTGTGCTAAAACTCTTTTAAGTCATTTCACGTCAGAAATATCACGATTTGCAAAGGGTATGCTGATTTTTGCAAAACTTAGTGGGATTATAGTTCTATTCAAGAGACTTCTTTCCCCCAAATTTTTTCAAAAAAAAATTAAAATTGTTGAAGATACGCTATTTTGAATTCTAATATTAATTTTATAAAATTTTGAATATCTCAGAATATTGTTTATGGACTTTAATGAAATTTACACATTTTTCAGGTAAAAGTATGTACTTTAAAATGTAAATAAAGTTATCTCAACTGAGTCCGGAGATATTGAAGTTTTTGTAAAAAAAAGCGTCGTAGCGCCTTAGCACCATACTGCACAAGTCGCGTAGTACGTCATCGTTGTCGTGCATTGCTGCTGCAACTAGACCTATTTTTTACAAAACCTTTAATATCTCCGGACCCAGTTGAGTCTCCATCAATTTTTTTTATGAAATTAAAGGTGAATTCATAAGGAATCCAAATATGTTAATAAAATTTTTCTCAGAGAAAAGTAAATAAACAAAAAATTATCTAAAAAATTTTTAAAAAAAATTTTTATTTAAAAATTAATTCTTTTTAAATAACTTTATTTGCATTTTAAAGTACATACTTTTACCTGAAAAAGGTGTAAATTTCATAAAAATCCATAAACAATATTCCGAGATATTCAAAATTTTATAAAATTGATATTAAAATTCAAAATGGCGTATCTTCAACAATTTAAATTTTTTTTTGAAAAAATTTGGGGGAAAGAAGTCTCTTATGTAGATTTATAATCCCACGAAGTTTTGCGAAAATCAGCATACCCTTTGCAAATCGTGATATTTCTGACGTGAAATGCCTCTTTGAAAAAATAGTTTCAGACATAGAAACAAATAAGGCTGTGTTCCAACATGTAAAGAAAGATGAGGAAAAATTATAAGACTGGTGAAAGCATGTAGTCGTTCATTATCCGACTTCCTTAAATAAAATTCGTAGTTCCCGAGAATGATCTCACCGTCCATGGCTATTGAAGATAGAGAAAAGTTATCCCATTTGTCAATTGAGTTAGACAGTATAAAAAATATTCTTATTTGGTTAAACCAGTTCAATTTCATACACTGATCTTTTTGTGCTAATGAAATTAATCTTTCAAGACAAATTCTAGGAAAACGCTAATGATCGATTAACGATATTCTAGTCAGCCATGATAATATACTTTTTAAAACAACGAAAGAGAGGTGTAAGGAGCCAGTCTCCAATCTTAGTGCATAACTCGGGGTATTTTTAGGGAGGCATAATAATTGCTTCAAAAAAGAAAGTTGCGTCTTCTCGATAAAGTCAAGAAAATACAATGCGCACACCTGATTAGCAAACATTAATGCACTCACTGTAAGGCTATCAAACAACTTTGTGTAAGAGCTCCACGAGTTAGCCCAGACAGGTGAATCACTCTCAGAATGCTTCGAATTGCTAGATATGCTGAACTCGTAAATTTTTTTGCAGCCGGTGCAAATGAACAAGACCCAGAGAATGGCACGCCTAAGTAAACATAACTGTCAACCACCTTAATCCGTTCTTCGCCATATTTAAAAAAGGAAAATTTTTTTGCTATCGAGTTTCGCATCTTAGAAAAAATTACAACTTTTGTTTTATTGATATTAACAATTAATTTGTTCGAGTCACAATATAAACAAAGTGCTTTTAATTTCTTACTAACTTCCAGTGGCGAATCCGATAGGAAAACATAATCGTCCGCATATCCCTGGGTCATTATCTCCGTTTTGCTATATATGGCAATACCCCTGCAACCTTGTTTATAAAAAAAGTCTTTAAAATCATTTATAAATAATAAAAACTCAAGAGGGCTAAGAACTTCACCCTGAAGTACCTCCTGAGTGACCTTAACAGATTCTGTAGTGCCCTTTTTACATTTAATATTTGTTGTTGCCACTGAATAAAACGCGAATAAAATAATGATGAATTTAGTACTGAGACCCAATTCGTGGAGCTTGCGAGTAACTATTTTCAAGCGAATCTAATCACTTTTTAAAAAATTGTCCGCCATATTGGATCCGCCATTTTGAATTTTAAAGAAGTGACATCAGATTCGTAATCAGCATCCCCAAAAACCCCTGAATGGTCAATTAAAAGCAAATCCAATCACTTTTTTAAAAAATTACCGCCATATTGGATCCGCCATTTTAAATTTTGAAAAAGTAACATTAGATTCGTAATCAGCGGCCCCAAAAACCCCCGAGTAACTATTTTCAAGCAAATCCAATCACTTTTTAAAAAATATGTCCGCCATATTGGATCCGCCATTTTGAATTTTAAAAAAGTAATATCAGATTCGTAATCAGCGACCCCAAAAACCCCCTAGTAACTATTTTCAAGCAAATCTAATAACTTTTGAAAAAAATTACCTGAAATTTTTTTTCGGCCTTCTGCATTTTGGAAAAATAGCCATTTTCGTATCCACCATCTTGAATTTTAAAAAAAGTAATTATGGATTTTTATAGCTAAGAGTTCGAGGACGCGATATTTTGTGCTTTGGAGACCATATTCAAAAAATTTTCATGTTCTCCATGTCAAAATAATAATTGAAAAATTTTTTTTTTTGTAAAAAAGTGTTTTTTTTGCAATAAAATTGTTATAAATTTTTTTGAGATAATTATAAACAAATTTTAGCTTCTTATTCCGAAAGAACGATAAATTTCACGTCGGAAATGGTATTTCCTAAAATTTTTAACTAATTATTTCATACAAAATAAGAGTTGTGAAATCATGGTACATTTTGCGTCCTGGTGGGCGTTAATGGGTTAAAGAGTTTTGAATCCCCCTCTTCCCAGACATGTTTTGCTAATCTTTAGAAGGTCCCGATTTTTCAGGATGGTGATCAGAACGGAGTTGATCTTCCACAATAGAGGGACAATTGATTCAGGTTCGCCGAAGTTTTCGAAGATTTACCCTTTTTATTAGATATAACTTGAAGCTGTTCTTGTAATTTCCTCTTGCGCAAATCAGGGGTTTCCAATTTATTCAGTGCTTTAATTTTTAGAGTGATATCAGAATGATCGGCTATCATACTTACTTCCTTTAGTTGATATGCTGATAATAATTGGTTTGCGCAAAGTAAATCAATCGGTTTTTCATTTATAATTAAATCTTTGTTCCTTATTCTCGCGTTCATACCTAATTCTCGAAACTTGACAACTCTGTCCGGCAGTTCACGATGCTCTTCTCTCTCTTCTTGTTTTATCATTAGAAATAGCGAGGTTGAGATTCCTAAACTTCTTGACCCTACTAAAGGCAACTCTCACCCATCTTGAGGAAATAAATTTAATTTTAAGGATAGAGGTTATCAAATCACGATTTACACTTTCTGAGTCCTCTAATCAGAAAATAATTAGATTTTTGGAGCGAGATTGATTATTGAAAGAAGAGAATCCTTTCTCTAACTCGAGTAATCTTTCATCAGAATTAAGTTGATTAATTTTAATAAATTCAAATACTTTCATAGCTGATTGTACTTCATTTCGGAGAGTATTGTGTGAAAGTGTGAGTGATTCAACAGCGGTTAGCAGTCGATTCAATTTGTCTTCTTCGTTTGTTGCAGACATCCTTGTTGACATTACTTAATTTGATATAGAAAGAACAAAGGACCGTACACAGACCCCACTCACACACTTAGAACAAATTTCACGTCAAGTTAAATTTTATTAAGTTGAAAATAAAGAACAAAAGAAAATTCAGCAAAAATTCAGTTACATTAATATGCATATATAAACTCTAATCGGAACTCAAAGTTTTACCGTAAAAGGGTACACAAAACCAAAAATTCAATAAACAAAACTGTCAAAAGTTACTCAATTTATCGGCAAAGACCCAAAAGTATGCCCGTCTTTAGATCACGATTTATCTGTAAAAACAAATTGAAATCTTATATATAGTTGTCATCATTCAAGTTTTATCTTTAATTTAAGACCAAAAAGTTAAAAAATCTTATCCGGTTTGCGAGATATCATTATAAACGTCTGAGCATTTTCAGTCAAAAACATTTACTAATTCAATGCATTTGTCCAGACATGCTTAGCATGTCCAAACATGCTCTGGCATTTATAATGATATCCCGCGAACTAAATAAGATTTTTTAAACTATTTGGTCTTAAATTAAAGGTGAGACTTAAAGGATAACATATATATAAGTTTTAAAAATTTTTAACAATTGTTTTATGTAAAAAAACATTTGAATTGCGTATGCCTGTGTTTTTAAAAAATTAAAATTAATCTTATTACTAGGTCAGTATTATTGCACACTAAGCCTCGAGTGTATATTGAGGATATTACAGTAAATACTGGGTTAATTGGAAAGATGGGAATTGTGAAATATATTATTAAAGCTAATGGTATGAGAGAAAGGGAAACACCTGTTTGCAGAGTTAGACTGTTAGATGCGGAGAATACCTTAGTTTTTAAGGAACCAGTTTACAAAATGAAAGGAACTTTAAAATTACCTCTTGCAAAGCTATGGTGGCCTATAAATATGAATCCAAATCCAGGATATTTATACACTTTAGAGGTACCGAATGTTTATGTAATCTTTTTTATAAAATTATGAAGGTTATAAATAATAAATTCAAATAAATATATTTTCAGGTTACTGTATCAGTGCCGAATACTACAAAGCCAGATATTTACAGGTTACCAGTTGGTATTCGAACCTTACAATGGACAAATAATAGTCTTTTAATAAATAATAAGAAATTATACCTTCGTGGTTTCGGTAGACATGAAGATTCAGCTATAAGAGGCCGTGGATTTGATTTAGTCACAATGACTAGAGATTACGAACTACTTCAATGGGTTGGAGCTAATTCTTACAGAACAAGCCATTATCCCTACAGTGACGAGGTTATGGATATGGCTGATAGGTTGTAATTATTAATTTAAATGTTCCTTAATTATTTTTTCTATTTTTGAAACAATAGGGGAGACAGGGGTATTATAGTGATGAGACATCGACATCACTGAGAAAAATAATATTGTAATGTTAACAAAATCGTTTTGTTGAGCACTTTTTTTGAGATTATTTCTTTTCACATTCTAACAAAAACAGTTATATCAACAAATAAATTAATGACGTCAATTCATAATATTATTAGTATATATTTATAAATTTACATCTTTATACCAAAATACTAAGGTTGAAATTTGTTTTGGAAAAGTAGATGTTCGACAAAAAAATTTGGTTCGCTCAACCAAATGGTTTTGTTGCACATATTACAAATAATAGTATATTGAGCATCAAGGCAAGGGAAGGAAATGGATGACTTACAACGAGAACTGTAAAACACGAGTGGAATAGTAATTTCGTAACAACTGCTCGCACAAGTTACGAACGATATTTTTTATAACAAGGTGCAAAAAGGGCCCTTTTTAGCACCGCGTTATGAAAATCATTTTTCCTCCCGAGTTGCACATACTATTTTTTCTAACACACGTATACCGAAAGTACAAATATTTAATGAAGCATTAAACACAAGTATTAACTTTTTAATGAAACTTTATAAATAATACTTCGTCGAGAATATACAAAACTTAAACATAGAAGAACCAAGTTCCAATTAAGTTCATTTGATTCAATTCTCAAGATCGTAAAAAAAATTAAATTATAAATTTATTTATTAATATTAAAATTGATTTTTGAGCAGTGAGACTCTTTACGGAAAGAGAAGAGAAAGACCATCAGGGATTAACACAATACAACAAATTCATTGCTGTTTCTTAATTATGAACTGTGCAAACTAAACGAAACTAAACTTACGTAAGTTACGTAACGAACGTAACTTGTGGAATTTACGTAACTGATTCACCAATGGTCATTAGGGTGGTTCAAAAAAAGAAAGTCGGAATTTTTGGCTCTCACCCCCTAGGATTAAAGTTTATAGAAAAAAATACCCCTGTTTTTTGGTAAAAAATTAATATTAACCCGTGCCTCAAAGCCCCTCCCATGTATTTTAAATGGGGAACAAACGATTTGTAACAAACCGAATTGATTTTAATCGCAGTTGCTTCCCACATTATTTGAAATTCGCGAATCGATGTTCTATCGCGAGATATGACTAATCGATACATCGATTCTCGATGCTGAAAGCAGACGACAAAACCGCGTGCTAGCAAAAAAGAGACGTCGACCGGCAGATTGTCGCGAGCTGCGCTAAAAGATTGTCGAAATTAGACTAAAAGATTGTTGCGAACAGCGCACTAAATTATACGTGATTAGCGTCATTTCTTTGTTAAAAACCACTGTTCTTTTGTGTCATAATAAATACTTATTTAAATATAACTTCATTTCTTCAGTTATTGTTATTAATACTGTTCGCTTCGCATTCCTAATAAGCAGAGATTCCTCATCGCAGAGAGCCGGCGATTCACACCGGTAAGTCCATCTTTTCTTTTGGCCATCGTGGTTGCAGTTCTTGCAACGTTCTTTCTCTCGCTCTCTGCAACTAGTGTAGTCGCACCCAGAGAGTTCCCATCAGCTGTGTGTGAGTGTATATTGTGCTTTCCGTCGCAAGTCGAACCCGTACTTATATATATTTTTCAAACTCAATTTTTAATTTTCAAATTAAAATCTCGGGATTAGGGTTTTCACAGATTTTTCGTAAATTTAATATAAAATCTAGTGGAAATTTTTTTTAGTCGGTCCAGGATATTATTTTTTGATAGATTCATAAAGCCAATTGTAATTCAATCGGTTTAATGAATTTATATTTCTTATTTTTTGATAGATTTATAAAGCCAAAAAAATAATAAATAAAAAAAATAATAAATAATAAAAAAAAAATATAATAAATAATAAAAAATAATAATAAATTACCGTTTTTGCTTTTTTGAGGATTTTTCAAAAAACTATAAAATATATAAAAATTTTAAAAATTTTTAAATATATAAGAGGACTACATTCCTTGAACACTTTAAAAGAAAAGCATCCTGGACCGACTGGAAAATTTTCTCTAGATTTTATATTAAATTAACGAAAAATCGTTTTTCCCCTTTTAAAATACATGGGAAATTTGAGGGGCTTTGAGGCACGGGTTAATATTAATTTATTGCAAAGAAAACAAGGGTATTTCTTTCAATAAACTTTAATCGGGGGGGGGGGGGGTACTTTCGGTGCGTCTGTTAGAAAAAAGATTTTGTTGGTACAACCAAATTTTTGTTGACGAATCCAAACAGTTTTCTCAGTGCATCGAAAACATTGATGTTTATCTTTCAAGGTCGATGTTTTGATTTCGATGTATAGAGGTTTTTTCCCTATGTTTGAAATGGATGTTAATTAAGTGGGGAAAAGAGGTTTTTTTAAATATCTCCTTTCCCAGTAAAAAGTGAGAAATTAAAAAGAATTAAAAAATTTTAATTCTTTTGAATTCCATTTCTGACCAATACTTTTTGTTTTCATTTGGAAAAGATAAAACGAACCTGAGTTTAATTGTTTTGAATACGGTTTTAATATTTTACGAGGAAAAGAATTTGTCTGTCCGAAGATTTGAACCCTCAACTTTTATTGTCGGAGACAAATAGCTTGTCACTCAGCTATTTTAACTGTACTATGAATACTGAATTTTAGATGTAATTATCTCAGAGTGTTGCAATCTTCAAAGGAATTAGATAATTACAAAAAAATTTAAACGAAATTGACAGGAATTGAGCTTACCGAGTACAACATAGTATTTCGGAATTCACAATTGGTGCACGTATGTATGTACTTTTACGCGTAGATTACAGGAAAAATATAGCGAACGTGATTGGAGCTCATCTTTATAGAATTTGTCACGAAAAACATCAAATTTTTAGTTTTTCCCAAAAAAAGGCGCTCACAGTTTTTTACCGAGAAAGATGAAAATTGGTATGCATATGTATTTTCAAAAATGGATTACAGAAAAAATATAGCGAACATATTTGGTATTGATCTTCTTAGTGTTTTCAGCGAAAAACTCTAAAATTTTGAAAATTTCGAAAAAATGCATGTAACCCCCCTGGCGCCCACAGTTTTTCACATAGAGAGCTGAAAATTGGCATACTTATTCATTTTTACGCGTAGATTACAGGAAAAATATATCGGAAGTGATTACAATTTATTGTTATGGTGTTTTCATCGAAAAACTAAAATCTCTTTTTGCAAGCTCAAAAATTCTCTAATCCTTGCTGGTTCTCACAATTCTTAATCAAGTGGACTGGCATTATACATTTTTATTTATTTTTTCGTGTAGAATTCAACATACAGAAAAAAAATCTGCCTGCCTTTCGGGCGGACACATTCTCATCCGCGCTTCTCGCGGAGGCTCGCTTCGCTCACAAGTTTCAGCGCGCCTTGGGGCGCGCGATTGCTGGTCGTCGCGCTTCGCGCTCCGAGGATTGGTGCGCCCCATGTGGAAAATAGTCATAGCGCTGTAACAAATCTGTCTAGTTTCTCTAGAAAAATTTAGATACAATTTTTCTAAAAACACATAAATCTTCGTTAGAATCTCAACTTGAAAATAAGTCTTCAAAAATTAAAAAAAGATAATCCGTCTTCGATATATCATTAAAAAAGTGAAGCCGAGTTTCGACGATTGGTTCATTGGAATTTAACTGTGATGACTCGATTCTGGCTTCGTGCGGCTGCGAATGGGAGAGAGAATAGGGACGGATTTATGCTGGGGGAATAATGAATAACAAGCAGAGCTACGCGCGCGCGATATTTCTCCTTTTGTCTTATGACACTCCAGACCTTATTTCATTGTGTGTATATAAAAATGTGACTAAGACTTTAAGATCTATTTTTTTCTTCTTCTTAAATAGGTGGATTCCACGCCAGTTCAACACACTATTTTTTATGACTTGTTGGGATTTGGCTGTACTTTTGTAAATTTATTACTTTTATAGTAATAAACAATTCCACCAAATATTTTTTCAAAATTTTAAAAATTACTAAAAATATGGCTTTTTTAAAATTTGCGTCTTTTTTTAAAGTGCTATAACTTTGGTTCTAATTAACCGATTTTTGATTTTGAAAAAAGGATTTCTTTGGTTTTAAGTATATTTTAAGTTAAAAATAAAATTCAAAAATTTTTTTTTGAAATTTTGAAAAATTAAAAATCCGTTTTTAAACAAACATCATCTTTGATTTTTTTCAAAATTTTACTAAATGTTAGGGCAAATGTGCTTTACATGTCCTGTAAGTTTCATCTTGGGATCTCAAAGGGACTCGGAGTAAAATAGTAAAAAGTAACCGCATATTACGAACATATGGGGAAATATTCCTCAACTGCCCAGGTCAAAAAATGAATTTTCTCTAAACTTTGCTAAAATGTTACTATTATTAGTAGAAGTGTAAATATAAATTTTTTTTGAATTTTATGAAATATTTTTTGAGTTATGGACTTTCAAAATTTTGATTTTTTTGAAAATATCTTTTTTCGATTTAATATATTAATAAGTGAAATTAATCAAATTTAAAGTATGAATAGTGATTTTTTAAGGGGTTTTCATGAGTTATAAGCTAGTGACATTTTTTCCTATGAGCCATGTAAAAATCAGAGTTGTACCACTGTTAGATAATGGTTTTAAAAAAATGTAGTTAAATTTTTGAGACCTGTGGGTACTTGTAAAAAAAGTTATAAGCGTCTTTGTTTTTAACTTTTAACATTGCGAATTGTGGGAATTGAGTACATTTTCAAACATATTTACTCACCACAAAGTACTTAGCATTAAGAAATTGATGAAACATTTTTTAATACGAGACATATATATAATGATTAAATATCTGTTAAAAAAACATCTGGCAACAATTATACACAATTTTCTCCTCAAAAGTAAATGTAAACAAGTCATACCAAACATTTGCAACACGACTAAAGAAATACGGTGTTGCCAGACGTTTCTAAGTACC